GCTCTGTAACAAAGAGGGAAAAAATGGACTGCCAACTTCAGGTGCCGCACTCGATCTCGCGTCAAATTTGTCAGTAGGCCCACAGAGAATAAAAACACACTTACATGTATTCCTCCATGGTAGGCCTAGGCCTTATCATTATGGTGATACAGCATAAGCGATTTTGTGCAATGGTAAAAAAAAGCAACATTGGCCCCCTTTTCCTTCCTAGAATACCTACAGTAGTACCTTTCTGCCTTTGTGCAAAGTCACTCATGCCACATTCAGCAATAAGGCTTATGTACTGGACGTGCTGAAGTTACTGGCAGGGTTATTTCACATGAACTCAACCAGAGGTTCCATGGTAACCAACTCAGATTTGACTCAATTTTCTTTTTTTTAAGAATGCAGCTATCTGGTATGACCACATGCAACATTGTTGGCTTCATCTCCAAAGGGTTCCTGAGATAAACCTCCCACAAATTGGAGCCATGCTCACTATTTTACTCTTGCAAATCACAGAAATTAATTTGGAAGGAATTTTGGAGGCCAGTTTCTCAAAAATGAATTAGAATTACAGGCTGCGTGTTGGTACCTATAAGGTGATTTGAACCAAGGCATTTGGAATTTGCCATCAAAAGTAATCTCTTGCATAGTCCGAGTTGGACTCTACAAATCACTTTTTTTAATATTTGGACATAGTGGGGCGATAGTAGGGTCCAAGTACCTCCCATAGGCTTTCCATCCCATTAATTCCTTTCACTCAAAATAATTCGTACTCCGTATCAAAATCCTCCGAATTCATCTGCAAAATGGTCCTTCTAAAGACTGTCTAATGCGCCCGGCTTAGGATCAAGTGAAAATTCCAGTATTGACGATAAGGAATGATAAATGATGAAATGAATTAATGTGAAGGAAAGCCAAAGTACTTGGACCCTACTACATGTGTAGTAAAAAATTGTAGATTTGTAGAATCCAAGTTACTCAGACCATCTCTTGCATACTTTCAGAGTTATTGCCTCCTAAATTTTGAAATTATTTATCGGTGAAAATAAAAAAATTCAATTTTCGAGGATACCCTGTGAGCCCAAGATTTTGTTTAGGGACTTACGATATTCTATCCTTGTTACTTGGTCAAAGGTGTGTCTGCCTAAGGAAAATAACCATACATGAGTTTAATGTTGGAATTATAAGCCTTTGAAAAGTGTCTCAGTTGAAGAAGGTCAACATTTACCCCAACTTTTGGCTGGCAAGCTCACCATGTGGGCAATTACCCATGGGCACTATGTTTTTGCCTCATAAATGTTCATATCTTGCCTTTATATTCATTTTGAAGTTGTTTTTCAACCCACCAGCCTGTTCAATGACTTTGCCAAATGTACTGTAGTCATATTTTGCTGGTACGGCCAACTCACACTGTACATGTTTCTTTGTACATGTTCATGTACTATACACAATGTCCATATCTCATACACACCGTACTGTGCCGAGTTAAATAGTTGACCCTTAGTAAGGGAAGTCCAGTCATTAGCACGGCCTATACATGTACATCTACATACATGCACTGTGCAAATGTTCATACATGTACCTACATGTATCTTATTACATGTATATTGAGTCACATGTACACCTAGGAATAGAGATTACATTATTGGTATGTACAGAAATGCAAAATGTAAGTTCATGTCACATCTTTTCTTAAGGTCAAGCTTTTGTTTGTAAAGCGCATTGAGGAATCTTTAATTCATAATGCACTATATAAATGCAGTTTTATTATTATTATTAGTGTGAAATGTTCCTTTCCCCAGAGCATGATTTTCTTAAACAGTGTTGAAAGTAGCGAACCACAATACATGTAACTTGTTGGGATTGAGTCTGAAATCATGGCTTCGCAAGCAACAAATGATGCGCAACTTGAGACAAGCACTTTGGAGTTTTAATTTAAGTTCATTCACTGATACACGTGGCTTCAGCATGTGTGTCTAGTTTCAAGACACAAAGCTACTTGTAAAACACTCATTGGAATCTTGGCATATATCACCGTTTGAGACTAAAAAGAATGTGACTGTATTTGCATATTGAGATTGAATCTGTGTAGCAAATGAATTGCAGTGCCCATTGAGAGTGAATCTGTGTAGCAAATGAATGGCAGTGCCTATTGAGATTTAATCTGTGTAGCACATGAATTGCAGTGCCCATTGAGAGTGAATCTGTGTAGCACATGAATTGCAGTGCCCATTGAGAGTGAATCTGTGTAGCAAATGAATTGCAGTGCCCATTGAGAGTGAATCTGTGTAGCAAATGAATTGCAGTGCCCATTGAGATTGAATCTGTGTAGCACATGAATTGCAGTGCCCATTGAGATTGAATCTGTGTAGCACATGAATTGCAGTGCCCATTGAGAGTGAATCTGTGTAGCAAATGAATGGCAGTGCCCATTGAGATTGAATCTGTGTAGCACATGAATTGCAGTGCCCATTGAGATTGAATCTGTGTAGCACATGAATTGCAATGCCCATTGAGATTGAATCTGTGTAGCAAA